CCCAGCAGGACCCTGCTGCTGATCTCCCACCCCAAGAATCTGCAAAACCTCGTTATCTTAAAGAGAAAATGTTTTGCTGTGTACTTTCAACCCTGTGCCTTTATGGCTCTGCATGCTCGCTCCGCCCACCGTGTGCTGTCTGAGAGGAGACATCTGACCCCTGAAGCCACAACCACCCTGATCCTGGAGTCCCATGGGAAAATGTGCAGTATTGGGCAGAGTGCTCCGTCTGCCACCCAGCCACGGGTACAGCTGGAGTCTGGGGGTACTGAGCCTGGCTCAAGGGAGGAGGCACTTTCTGGCTGGATTCTAGCCTCCAAAGCACAAACATGTTGTCACTGCCCCTCCACACACTCACTGTCCAAGATAATATGCTCAAAGATATGCCAAAACAGCTTCCAAACTTGGTTTGAGAGAAGTGCTGCTAGGAAGCCACTCTTGAGTGCTTCTTGATGGTTAAGAGTGCGGGAAGCTTTGGTTTTGAATCCCTGCTCTGCCGCTTTCTTGCTGTATGATTGGGCAGATTGCTTCATCTCCCGAGCTCTGGTATTCTGTATGTAGCACAGGAAGAGTAGCAGCTCAGAAGTTTGGGGGTGAAGAGTGTGTATTGAATGTCTGGTGCAGCAGCCTGACTGCCACGTGGCTGCTGCATGGAAGGTTGTTCGGATGCTAATGACAGTGCCAGCTCCGGTCCCTGCTGTCTTCTGCAGCACCCTTTCTCACCAGCACACCCCTCCCCTCACTTGGTTCATTCACTGCCTCATTCATTCACTCGTGTTTCTCAGCACGGTGATAGCTGAGACTTAACCCCTAGGCCACCAGGGAGGCCTCTGATGCTTTCTTTTTTGAAAGATTTATTTACTTATGCATACAAGAGCTGGGGTGTAGGCCAGAAGTGGGGGGGGGGGTGTGAGGATTTACCAGAGAAAGAGTGGGAAGTAGAACAAGCAGGTGTATTGAAATACAGTGCTGAGGGAGCAGCGGCTGAGATAGAAGAGGTCTGCTGCCCTATGTGGGATTGAGAACCGAGAACTCGTGCTGCAGTGGCTGGCAATAGCTTGATAGTGCTGTGTCTTTTTGTTTTGTTTTGTTTTCATATTTAAGATTAGATTTAGGGGTCTCCCTGATGGCGTAGGGGTTAAGTCTCAGCACTACCACCTCAAGGTCCCGTCTCAACAGCCTGATTTCCATCCCTGGCCAGGGAGCTTACCCACATGGCACAGCAGACCTCTCCTGTTATTCATCTTAGGCAGAAATAACAGAAGAGCGAGGCCTATATTCTTTTCATTGTGTCCTATCAGGCAGCACCCAGTTGCAACATGTCCTGTTACTAACACTGTTCACTTCTCTCTTCAATTACTGATTAAGGTGGTGTCTGCTAGACTTCTCTGTTATGAAGTTGCTGATTTCCCTTTGTAAATCATAAGTATTTGAAGGGAAGGCTCTCAGACACTACATAAAGATCTACTCCTTTTCAAGCACTCAATTTTATTTATTCATACCTGTATATACTTTATTTTCTTCAGTGGAATATGTTATTATCATAATTTATCTTAATGCAGTTTGTCCCAGATTTTGTCCATGGTCGAGTGTTCAGCTGTCCTACTTTGCCTGGGACTGAGAGGTTTTCCAGAATGTGGGACCAGAAAGCCCCAGCAGAGCCTGAGCAGTTTGGTCACCCTGGGAAACCTGCAAGCTGGTTGTTGTGTCCTCTGGGCAAAGCTCCCACTTCTCTCTGAGAACTTCCTTACTTTCTGGCACAATAAAATATTCCAGGTTCATCTCACATAGTCCCCTGATCCTGCCTTTCAATAAGAGGTGGAAATGGGACCCTTTGGGTGTCAAACTGCACCACACACCCTGGGACCTGGAGCAGAGAGCACTCACTCCACTGCCTGCTGGCGCTCTCCCGCCTGCCTCTGTGGTTTTGCCCTGGCTGTTCTCTCTGCCAAGACTGGAAGACACTTCCAGAATGCACTTCTCCATGAAGTCTGACCTTTTCCTCCCAGGCAGAGCTGACCTTCTCTCTGACTGCAGTGGACAGTTTTGGGCCCCCCCCAATTTCCATGTTGGTCCCCCTCCCTCAACGGGAAACTTCTCAAGGACAGGCACCTGACTATTTGGTGTTCTATCTGACTATTTGGAACTGGGGGTGTAAGTTAAGTGACTGGGTCTAGTCATGCCCCCAAATGAAGCAGAAAAGCAATCTGGAGGTAAAGAGGGAGGTGTCTCATTTGGGGTCACACAGAGTCTGCAGCCTGGAGTCTATTCGTGGTAGACTTAATAGTCCATTTAATTCTAAAATGGGACTGTTATATCTGCATTGCTGTAAGATTACAATGCAGTTGTCTATATGAAGAACTTAAGTGCAGTACATGGGGCCTCTCTGGTGGTACAACTGGCTAGAGCGCAGCATTATGAAGCTCTCCGCAGTCACTGCAGCACAAGTTTGATCCCAACCAGGAAGGTGACCCACATGGTGCAGCAGGCCTCTCCTGTTGCTCCCCTCAGCAGTTTATTTCAGTCAATCCACCTGTTCTGCTCCCCACTCCATCTCTGATGAATCCTTTCACCCCCCGCATCTCTGTTCTTCTATGTATATATGTGTGTGTGTGTATATATATATACATATATATATATATATATATATATGTACCACATCCAGTTCTTATATGTATAAATAAATAAATCATTCTTTTAAAATATAGTACCTGTTGTGTGGTGAGTGTACATGTCAGAATCTCTGGGGACCCTTTTATTTATAATATTTTTTATTTTTGTTTAAAGATTTACTTATTTAGGCCCTCCCTGGTGGCGCAGCGGGTTGAAGCACAGCACTGAGAATCTAAAGCCGCTTCCGCATGAGTTCGATTCCCGCCTGCCCCGGAGGTGACCACATGGCGTGGCAGACCTCTCCTGACCCGCCCGCTGCTCCCCTCAGCAGTGTACTTCGTCAATCTGCCTGTTCTGTTCCCCACTCTGTCTCTGGTGAAGCCTCTCACCACCCCTGGGCCTCTGGTCTGTACCCCAGTTCTGTATGCACAAATAAATAAATCTTTAAAAAAAAAAAAAAGATTTACTTATTTATACATACAGAACTGGGCTACAGGCCAGAGGTGCAAGGGTGGTAAGAAGATTCACCAGAGATGAAGTGGGGAGCAAAACAGACAGATCGACTGAAATACACTGCTGAGGGGAGCAGCAGACAGGTCAGGAGAGGTCTGCCACGCCATGTGGGTCACCTCCTTGGCCGGGGATCAAACTCATGCTGCATTGGCTGCAACTGCTTCATAGTGCTTTTGCACCACCTGGGAGGGCCCTATAGTATTTTTTAGTATTGTAGAAACAGTACTATACATTTTAGAAAATGAGAAATACAGTAAAAAGAAAATAAAACTGTCATATTATACCATGCATTTTGTTTCATTATTCCTTTTAGTTTCAGGCAGCAGTTTCCACCATTTTGTTTTAGTAAATTTTCAGCCCATTAATATTGAGGCTATCTATATTCACACATACCCATTTGTCCCAAATATGTCCTTTCTAGCTGTTGTGCAACCCAGGGCCACATTTCACGTCTGGCTTTATGTCTCTACATGTCTTAGGTAGCCCGATCCCTTCCTTATGACACTGACTTGTAGCACAGACTGGATCAGTAGCCCTGCAGAACGTCTCCCTACATGGCTCCAGCTGGCTATATTCTAGCCTCATGGTGTTGCTTAACTTGTTCTTCTGTCCTCTGTTTCATATAAAGTTATGTATGTCTAGGGCTAGAGGAGTTCACTGGTAGAACACCCAGTAGGTATGCTATGTATTTCCTGTGGCCTGTCATCGCTGTTAGTGGTGCCAGGGTCTTACCAAAGACTGGAGGAAGGCGATGTGATCCTTCTCTCATATGGCTACTTATATCTCCTTTAGTAAAAAGTGATCTGTGTGGCTCCCTTGGTACTGTGTGAATGAGAGATCTTTTAAATTGCACAAGAAGGCCCTCCCTGGTGGCGCAGCGGGTTAAAGCACAGCACTAAGAAGCTTAAACCACTTCTGCATGAGTTTGATCCCCACCTGCCCTGGAGGTGACCACATGGCGCGGCAGACCTCTCCTGACCCGCCCGTTGCTCCCCTCAGCAGTGTATTTTGTCGATCTGCCTGTTCTGCTCCCCACTCTGTCCCTGGTGAAACCTCTCACCCTCCACATCTCCAGCCTGTACCCCAGTTCTGTATGAATAAAAAAATATTTTTTTAAAAAATTGCACAAGAAAACTTGCACATTTGCTGAGGGGAACTTGATCCCAGAGGGGTTTGGACACTTACATTGGGAAAGAAATCACAGAACAAGGACATGAATGGAGTTTTATCTTGCTGAGAGCAAGTTAGAAAAGCCTGTTTTTTTACTTCCGTTTCAGACATGTGATCTAAGTAAAATCCCAGCTCTGTTATTTACCAGTTGCTGACCTTGGACAAGTTGCTTCACCTCTCTGAGCCTCAAGTTATTGTGAGGGTTAAATTATAAGAGTTGTGGTGGGAGTGGCCACCCTGGTGGCGCAGAGGGTTAAGCCTCAGCACTATGAAGCTCTCCGAAGCCACTGCAGCATGAGCTCAGTCCCTGGCCAGGGAGCTAACACGTGGTACAACAGACCTCTCCTGTCTTGCTTCTCTGCTCCCCACCCTGTCTCTTGTGAATCCTCTCACCCACTCTCCCCACACTTCTGGTCTCTATTTCAGTTCTTGTATGCATAAATAGATCTTTTTAAGAAAGAATTTTGGTGGGACTGAGGTAAGGGAGGTAGTTTCTGTACTAGAAGCTGGCATAGGTGTGTCATTTGGCTCATGTGGCTTCTGGGAGGACTGAACAGGGTTCCTAGCAAGAGGTGAGTCCCAGATGACTTCAGAGGTTGCTGTTCCTCATGTCCTCTTCTGTCCCTTTGCCTGTCTGTCCTCCGACCCTCTGACTAAGACTCTGAGCCCCATGTAACCCTGACCACTCATGTGTTTGTCTGCAGTGCCGGATGGAATGCCGTGATGTGCCAGCTGAGACACTCTACGATGTCCTACATGACATTGAATACCGAAAGAAGTGGGACAGCAACGTCATTGAGACTTTTGATATCGCCCGCTTGACCGTCAACGCCGATGTGGGCTATTACTCTTGTGAGCAGGCAAAAGCAAGCTTATCCCACCCGCCTCTCTCTCCTTCCAGGTTTCCCACTTGCCCTCCTTCTGGCCATGCTGCTCAGAGACCTGAGTGCTGAGGTATAGCACTTCCTGGGAGGAGGGCCCAATGCCTTCCCTGACATCCTTGTCCACTCCCAGACAATTGGGCGCAAACACACACGTACACTCGCAAACATACATGCACTCCCGTGTTCGTGTGTACCCATGCCACACATAAACCTAGCATACATAGTCATGTTCATATCCTTCAACCACATGCTACAGATACTGACACATTTTCACACACACACACGGCATTGTTGTTCTCACATTCATATATACATCAGGCCAGAACAGCAGGTTGTGAGGATCAAGAATGACCAGACACAGGAGGGAAGAAAGTTCTGTTCTCTCTTTCTTAGTTCTGGGACTGAGGCCTGGTGGTAGTGGGTACCTGTGTGGGTCCGGGCTGCTGGCAGTTAACTAGGCATCCCTGTAACTCTGGCTGCTGCCTCACCCTTCCTGCAGGCAGATAAGCTGGTGGTCTGGCTGAACTGTCCCTTGCCCTCCACAGGGAGGTGTCCAAAGCCCCTGAAGAACCGTGATGTCATCACCCTCCGCTCCTGGCTCCCCATGGGCACTGATTACATCATTATGAACTACTCAGTCAAACATCCTGTGAGTCGACCTGCCTTCCCTGCTGGGTGGGCAGGGGAAGGTGTCAGGCAGGACTGGGCTGGCAGGCTGCTGCATAACTTTCCTGTGACCCCAGGCCAGACATGAGTCCCTGGCTCAGTTTCCTTCCTCTACAGTCCAAATTATGGCTCTGACCCTCCTCCTGGGTCTCTCAAACACATGAGAAGAGAGCATTGTGGGCTATTGCTGTGGGTGAGTGGGTAGAATGAACTGGCTTGGGTTGCTGGACTGATCAGAAAGGGGGGAGCAAGACGTGAAAGGCAGGGTTCTCTGGCTCTCTGTGAGGTGGGGCTGCCTTGATCTCCATAGCAGGGAAGACAGGCAGGTACAGTTTACCTGGGCAAGGGTGAGCGTGTGTGTTTGTGAGTGCTTATGTGTGTGCTCTTTAACCTTGACTCCACACTGGGGGCCCTCTTGAGGGAAGAGGGAAAGATTCAGAGGGTCAAGGATGACCAAGGCTGGCTCCTCCCTTTCTCCTTACCCCAACATCAGACCTAACCTGGAGCAGATGCCAGGGGATATGAAATCTGTGTGTATGTCTGTGTGTGTGTGTGTACTCAGACACCTCCTTTGTCCCCACCCTGGGTCTTACCTCCCTGTGCCTTCCATCCCCAGAAATACCCACCTCGGAAAGACTTGGTCCGAGCTGTGTCCATCCAGACGGGCTACCTCATCCAGAGCACGGGGCCCAAGAGCTGCATCATCACCTACCTGGCCCAGGTGGACCCCAAAGGTGAGGGCTTGGCCCTGCAACCCTATCATGGGGTCTTCCTATTACTGTAGGGAATGGGGTTTGATCTAGGAATCCTAAAGGCCCCCTATTTGGAGCTATTCTGTATTTTGGGGCACCTACATTCAAAGCACCATTTGAATCAAGGTTTGAGACATGGTAGCTTGAAAAGCACAGACCATGGGGGTAGGCTTTCTCTGCCTGGGCTCTCTTGCTACCCCCATGCTACAGCTTGCTCCTTGGTCACTGCTGCTCTGTTCTTTCTGTCTTGCTGGCTCTCATCCTCTGTCCATCCTAGAAGCCTGGGTTTTCTCGTCCTCAGGCTCCTTGCCCTCTGGAGAATTCAGCTACTGCCAAGGCATCTGTGGCCCACTGACTACATTCTCTGCTGAGATCCAGACCATTGGATCCTGCGGCCACTGGACTCCTAAACATCATCCTCAGGATGTTTTCTAGGTCCTGGAACTCACTATGCCCAGTGCTAAACTATCTTCCCTCCTAACTTAACTTCTAAATCTCTGCCCACCCAGTCACCATGTCAGGAACCTGTGAGTCATCTAGGGCTCCTTCTCCCTCATTCCAGATGCAGCCACTGATTAATTTTGATTCTGCTTCCTAAACAGCCCCTGAATCTGTCATTTCTCTTCATCCCAGTCACCTAGCAGTCTATGCCAGCTACCAGAGGAATTTTTCCAAAACATTTATTTTCTTATGACTCTCTTTTGCTGGAAATTCTTCTGTGACTGTCCATCACCCTCAATATGAAGTCTGGGTCCCCTCCCAGGGTTCATAGTCGCTCCTCATACCTTCCATGCGCATGCCTCCCTGTCTTGTTAGCTCTCTCCCTTCGCCTAAAAAATACCTCTCTCTGCCTTCTTCCCAGCTCTGGGGCGCTTCAGCTGTTGTCTCCTTTATGCCAAATACCCATGGGTTTGCCGGCTCCCTGCATTTGTTCTGTGGGCCCATCCCACATGCAGTGTGCTGCATTCACTGTTTGGCCCCTCAGACAATAAGTTCCTTTCTGGGTTGGCTCGGGGTGGGTATCAATGAATGGTTGTGAAGTGAGTGAGTGAGTGAATGAGTGAATGAGTGAATGAATGACCAGGGCATCCATTCAGAGTACTTGATGTTCACCTTGGATACCCTGGGCATCTTTGCCTGGCATGCCCTAAGCCCCATCAAGAGACCATTGGCCCAGGCCCAAAGCTCCCCAGCATCTCATTAAGAATGTAGAATGTCAGAGGCAGAGCAGATACTTGGGAATGACGCAGGGTGGAGTGTTGGGCTGTGGATTCCAGGTCAGGTCAGGCTGGGGTGCTCAGCCAAGAGGGCTGTGTTAGTGAGACTTCCCGGGGGTGGGGGCTTGGAAGGACTGGCAGAGGGGCTGAGCACAGGGCCATTCACAGCAGAGGGCTTGGGCATGGGAAGGGATGTCATTGTGAGCAGAGGGGAGGCTTAGTGGGTCAGGATTTTTATCCATATGTAGCCTGTGATCCCCTTGGATCCTGTGGTTTTTTTCCATGCTACCCTCTGGGGTCCAGCAGCAGCCGGGAGGGGGGTAGAGTTGAGCCTGAGGACCTTGGTCTTAGGTAGAAAGTGGCATGAAACGCCTTTTCCTTACGCATACTTCTCCCCACGGAGAAGGGGGCTGCCTACCTGGAAGCGCCAGGCAGGAGGAAGGGGGCTAGTTTGTGTGTTTGGTGGGTAATGGGATCCCTGAGACTACTTTTTCCCTCCCACTCACTACTCTTCCCCTGCTCTCATAGGCTCCTTACCCAAGTGGGTGGTGAATAAATCTTCTCAGTTCCTGGCTCCCAAGGTGAGTAACCTTTAGCCTGTGAGGGCATGAAGGCTGGGAGAGAAGTGGTGGTCTACTTTGGGGTGGGGGGGTGGAGTCAGAGAAGGAGACTGGGAGTCGGGGCATGGTTAGGGATGAGGGATGGGTTACCGAAGCTGTCAGTTGGGGAGCTAGAGGGAGGGGCGTGGCAAAGAGCTAGTCCTGGGCGGTGTTCACCCCTGATTCAGTGGTGTGGTGGGCCCACAGGCGATGAAGAAAATGTACAAGGCTTGTGTCAAGTACCCTGAGTGGAAACAGAAGCATCAGCCGCACTTCAAGCCCTGGTTGCACCCGGAGCAGAGCCCATTGCCAAGCCTGGCGCTGTCAGAGCTGTCCGTGCAGCACGCGGACTCGCTGGAGAACATCGACGAGAGTGCGGTGGCGGAGAGCCGGGAGGAGCGCACTGGCGCGGGCGGTGAGGGCAGTGACGATGACACCTCACTCACCTGAGCCCAGCACCACCCCAGGGACCTACACAAGACTGGGCAGGGCCCGGGGGCCATGGATCCTCCATGCTTTCTCCCCTCCCCTGCCCCTTGCGCCTACTAGGGACGCTGGGCTGGCCCAGGTGGGCGCTGTGGCCTGGCTGGGCACAGCCTCAATAAACTATCCCACAGCCTCAGCCAGCTCACCACTATGCCTGCTTCACGCCTCTCCCGACCACCTGAGGGCCTTGGCCCCCTTGTTCTGAAGTTCCTTTTGGTAATTTTATTATTGACCTCCAGTTCTTTGCTCCTTTTGGCATCGCCTCATTTCTCCATATGTGGCTGGGGGACTAGGGGGTGTCACGTGGCCAACATGGTGTGTTCTCCTTGTGTCTCTTCATCAGGTCACTCTTCATCCCTCCACCTGTCCTTGTGTGTTCATTCTGCCATTCACTCCAGGCTATCTGCTTAATTTTCACTGTTCAGAGGCAAGTCAGGAGTCAGAGAGTGGGGTTTTGCTTTATCATCCAATGCCAAGGTTCTTTGGTTCCATATGGACTGGGGGTTTTAGTGGCCACATGACTGTGGGCCACAGAGCTGGGGCTGGGGAAGCGTGTTCTCCAAGAGAAAGATTGGTGTGTGTGTGTGTGTGTGTGTGTGTGTGTGTGTGTGATGTGAGGCTTCTTGGCTTCTAGTGTAGTGGAGGGACTAGGCCCTGTGATCCAAACCCTCCTAAGAACATTTTAAGACCTCAGACTCGTGTTAACAGAAAGGGTGACCCCTTAGACACTGTCAGCAGTCAGATGCCAGACCTCTGGTCCTGTGTTCACCTGGCTGCTTTGAGATTGGGGCTTCCTCTGTTCTCTTTAGCCCTCAGGTGCCCTCTACTTCCAGAAGGCCAAATCCTACTCTCAGGTCTGGAGGAAGAACTTGTGCTCTGTCCCTCCTCTGCACCCAATATGAATTTGAGGCTGGGAAGTTTCCCGCAAAGACCGGCTGGCTCTCCCCAGCTCCCAAACACCTTACCAAGAAGACATAATGTACTTAGAGTTCACTCTTGCCAGTCAGAAGTAGGCAGGAAATTCTGTAATTCATCAAGTCTGAGGTTCTAACTCCAGGTTTGCCCAGTACAGACTTGGTAACTTTGGGTAAGTTCTAGAACTTCTTAGAACCTCATTTTCTAATCCATAACCTGAGGTGATAGTTTTTACCTTGGAGCAAAAGTAGGAGGATTGAGATAAAAGGAGTAAATTGCTCATCACTGGGTCTGGCGTGTAGTGGATGCTCTAATTAATGACTCCCGATCTCAGCATAAACTTACTCTGTGCTCCACTGTGGTGAGGTGGTTCTTCCAGATATCCCTGTGGAACATATGGAGAAATAGAAGCAAATTTCAGGTCTCTGAGGTGCCCCAGAGGCAGGAGCCATGAATGACTGCTAAGCCTGGAACCCACATCTACACACTTGCTGGTGGTACTGGCAGGAATCTCTCCTCCCTACCAGGGATGGTGTCTGATGCCAGGACCTCAGACTGCAGCTTTTGACCAAGGTACTTTCGCACTGTATGTCTGGGGAGCCTCTTCCCTACGACTCTGTCTTTGCGGGATTGGGTCCAGGGGGAGAAGTGGGATATCCTCTGAGAATGACGTGGGGAAAGACTTCGTGGAGGAGGTGTTCAAGGACCTGGGTCGTACTTTCTCCAACTGCTCCGACCACTCTCGGGGGACTGAACCCCTGGGGGTGTGCGGGTGTACGGCGCATCTCCCCCGTGGACAGTCATCTGGAGAAGGGGTGGCAGGAGGCAGGGAGACTCAGGGTAGATGGAGACTGAGATGAAGGTAGTGGTGGGAATAGAACTGAGACCAGAGAGCAGCGAGAGGCACTGGGGAGATACACCCACCGATCCTAAAGGCTCCCTGGCAGGCGAACTCAAAGACCGCGACTAGGCGGGGCCGGGGAAGGGGCGGGTCCCTGCCCTTTCCCCGCCCTCCCCTCCTGGGGCGTCACGTGGGGGCCGGCGGAAGCGCCCGGCGGGGTGGGCGCGCCCCGCCTGCAACCGCGAGTTGGCTGCGACGGCGTGAGTCTGTGGCGGCGCTGGGACCCGGGGTCCCGGCGTGGAGTCTTCGCTCAGATCAGGTTAGTGCGGCCGGCGCGGCCTCTCCGTCCGCCGTCCCTCCGCCAGGTGCGACCGGAGTTTCCCCATTCCTCAGAAGGGAACGCCGAGGTCGCGGACCACTGCGCCCCGCGCACTTCCGCGGGCGTTTCTCCGGGTGTGGGGGCCACAGTCTCCTACCCGGTGGGGTGGGGTTCGTCTCCTGAGGATGTGCGGGCGGGCCAGAGACGGGAGGAAGGAGGGCAAACCGGAGGGACTGGGGGCCGCCAGCGCTTAGCCCTTCTGCGTGAAGGCTCCCGGGATCTGGGGCAGCCCACCGTCAGGCACCTCAGTAATGTGAAGGCTCCGTTGTTGACTATTGTTGACCCTTTGCTCTGGACCTGGAGTTCTGTTGACCTTGGGCAGGCTACTTCCGGTCGTGTGCCTCAAGTCCCCATTAGTAAATGAGGGCATGGTCTCCCAGGAGTTCCTATCTGGCCCAATTTCTGGAAAAAGAGGGTGTGTACACAAAACAGGGTCAAGCCGTTAAGCCGGAGTGGGTGGTTGGGACTAGAGACCCTCCTTGGATGGCCTGGCATTAAGTATTTGGTGGCTGGGGAATTCTCCTCAGGTATCACAGTGTGGCTTCAGTCTTTAGCCACCCTCTCCTCTTGGGAAGCCTTCCCTGACTCCCAGACTTGGGGAGTGCTGCAGGGCTGGAGGGATATCTGGGGGTACTCAGAGAAGGATTCTGTATTCTGGGACCCAAGGGGGTTCATAGAAGAACCAGGTTGCCTGCTCTCGAGCAGAGAGCCCAGGCGAGGAGAGACCTCCCAGCAAGCTCATTACAGGTTAGAAGGAGCCCAGTAGTCAGGAAGACAGGTGCAGACAGGTTAGAGGGGTAGAATCCTGGACGAGGACTCTTTGGAGGCTCAGGAAGGTGGAGATGACTGGAATGGTCTTAGCAGTTAAGTGGTAATTCACAAGGATAAGGCTTCTGTAGGGGAGAGTGGAACTTGTACACAGGGAGGAATTTGCATGGTAAATTTGAGGCATGGCAAGAAGATAGGTTTACTGAAAGGATACTGAAAGGGTAGCCAAGGGCAGAGTGTACAGAAAACTTACCACATGTCCCATGGTGGGTGGGGATTGTCCAGATCCTGACATGAGACTTTGCCTTTCATTACTGGTTGCTCCCTGAAGTTGGGCAAGAAGGAGTTGTTCCCTGTAGAATCTTGCCAACTGAGGAGGTAGAGGTGGACAGAAGCCACCAGGCACCCAGCTTGACCCCAGGTCTTACTGGGGCACTTAGACTTCTCCATAACCCCAACCTTACCCCCACCACCTTCAGCCATGCTTTTCCACACATTAAACCTTGTGGGGGTTGCTTTCCTTCCCCTCACCTAAGTTTGTTCCCCATTCAAATCTCCTAGGTAATTTGCAATTTCAAAAGTGAACTGCTGTTGCCTCCTTCTGCCTGCCTGCCTCTTTCTTGCAGAAACTCTGTGGGCAAAGGGCTTGCAGAACCAAGGGGATGATTGGGACCTGACGCAGTCCCTGTGCAGCCACCAAATGCTATGGCTCTGCAAACCTTGGAACGCAGAGCCTCCATTTCCCCATCCGCAGAATGGGATGATGAGCTTGGGTCCATGCTCCAAAATCCTGTTTCACAGTCAGGACATCTGTCTCAAACCATTGCAACAGAGTAGTTAGGACTGACCAGGTCAATAACAAAATGAGTGTTTAATTGTTGTAATGGTTGCAGTAATAGTAATAGCAGCAGCTGCTGTTTCTTGAAAACTTACTGTGCTCCAAAGAGAAACTGTGCTGGGCTAAGAACTGGGCCTAACTGAATAAATCCTGCTCCCAGCAGTGAGTGTTTAAATGAAAAAAAAGGAAGAACCTAGGTAGGAAAAGCTCAGTTTAGAGGGGTAAGGGGCGCCTGAGTGTCCTAGTGGCTAGTGGTGAACAAGCCCAATACTTACTGTAGGGCATTAACTCAAGAGAGAGGAGTCCCCTCCGTTCTTCAGGGCTCTTCCCTCCCCACCTCACCCTCTTGGCTTTGGCCAAACTCAAAACCAGCCGGCTTATGCCCAAACAAGTAGCCTCTGTTCCCGGGGTGGGGGAGGGGAGGCAGGCCCTGGGCTGCAGGCCCGTCTGTCCAGTGCTGACCCTGGCCCTCCGCCCTGCACTCTGGATCTTAACCCTTGGGGGCCTGAACTGGTTTCTGGGCTGCTAGAGGGCTGGTACCCCTTACCACCACTGCCCCCTCCATCCTACTTTAGGCTCCCAAGGGTTCTGTTGCAGCAGAAGGGAAGGCGGGGGGGATGTGAGTTGGAAGTGGAGAAGGAAGGAAGGAGTGGAGTGGGGGTAGCAGGATAGGAGGGAGGCTGGAACAAACAGGTCATGGACAGTGAGAGGCCACTTGGCCCCACAGTTTTTGTACAGATGGAGAGACTGAAACCAGGGATCAGAGATCAGGGACCAGAGCAGAATCATGCATCAAGCCCTGGTGGGATCCGGCCTGACCCTGACTCCTAGTTTGGCTCCTCTTGGGGAAAGGAGAGGGGAGGGGAGGATTTCTTGCGCTGACTACCTCCTGTGTACCTGACACTGCACGTTTGTTGCTTTATTTAACGTCAAATCGCTCCATGACAAGGGTCACCCTCCTGTAATGTCGGGGAAGAAAGTGAGAGCTGAGTAGTAGTTGCAAGAACATCTGCAAACACGCTGATGTTATGAAACAAAAATGTCAGCACTTGCATGTAGATTAACCAATGTAGTCCCCCGACAACCAGTGGAGATAGACATCATTCTGCAGATAAGGAAACTAAGAAACTTGGCTAGGATTACGGCAAATAAGTGGTAGAGACAGGATCAGACTCAGGCATTTGCTTCCTTTGGCCTGATTTTCCCTCCCCCAGCTGACCTTATCCCTTGAGCTAAGCCCAAGGTTCAGCTCTGTGAGGGTCTTTCCTCTGGGTGGTGGCCGAGGCAGCTGTGAGAGGGAACCCCAGCCGCACAGACCCAGCCCGCCCCTTAGCAGCAGAGTCCACCCCTGGGGTCACCCCCTCACCCACCCCTCTGGCTCAGTCAGGCTGGATTCAGCCCTTTTATAGCCTCTGCAGAGAGGTGTTCGGATTTCAGCAAGGGGTTCTGTGTTAAGGGAGGCTCCTTCAAGGGTGTGAACAGTAAGAGATTATAGGGGGCCCTCTGATGTCCCCTGCAAATGCACTTCCCACAAAGCCCATGGTCTGCTGCTGACTTAACATCAGTGCCCAATCCTGATCAGAGAGGACATCTTGCCCACTTGACCGACTCCTGTCAGACTGCCAGAGCCATGCTTCCCAGCCAGGGCTCTAAGGAGGATTGTCCAGCCCAAAGAGGAGATGACCCCACGTGTCAGGGACTGCCTGTGGGTGTAGTGTCTGGCTGGTCTTCCACGCATCCTTTCTGTGGAATTTCTTTGTCTCATCCCTTGAACCATCATTCAGAAGGCAAAATCTTGTTTCACTGTCAGGACATCTGTCAAACCATTGCAACAGCGTAGTTAGGACTGATCAGTTCAACAAACAAATGAGTCTTTAATCGTAATTGTTATAGTAGTAGTAATAGCAACAGCTGCTGTTTCTTGAAAACTTACTGTGTGCCAAGCAGGCTATGTACTGATTTCATTTAATCCTCAACAATCATTTTGGGGGCAGGTGCCATTCCCATTGTACAGATGGGGAAATAGACCTGGAGAGATTTGCCGAGATCATCCACTATATAGAAGAGCTTCACAATGAGGCTCCTGAGCACTGGGACGCACCACGGGCAGAGGAGGCCAACCCCATTCTATGCTGGAAACTCCCAGTCCAAGTGGGAGGCCGGGCCCGGAGGGCCACCTGGGCAGGCAACATTGCCGAGACCCACAGAGGGGGATGCCTGGGAAGTCACCCTGCTGGCAGACCGGGCTGGCTGCTGCAGCGTGCTGATCTCTCAGACCCAGCCTCAGCGTGAGCACCTTCTGGTGAGTTTCCTCAGGCCCCATGTCACTGATGGGCACACTGAGGCCAGTTGAAGTGAAGTAATTTGCCTGAAACTTTGCAGCTAAGAAAGGGGAGACCCAGGACTGGCACCCAGACAGGGGACTCTGGAGCTTGGTCAGGGCCTTCTGGGCCTCTGAAGCTCTGAGCTTCCTTCAGACACTACTTATCTGCCTTGTCACAGGCTCACATTTTTTTTTCTTTATTACTAGTTTATTTTAATTGTGGTAATATTAGGGTACTACAAATATATAGTCAGATAAATGGTCAGAGAAAGACAAGCTTAAAAACTAACCCTTGAAAAGTAACTACAGAACAAAAAATCACTGGCTTTGGAAGCCACATTCAACTTGAAAAGTTATGGAACGTAATAACTTTTAATTTCATTAATTCACATTCTTCATAAGCAAATTAAAAAGTTCAATGATTTGATTGCAAAACTTCTTTCAGTCTGCTCTACCATTGGGATCCTTCATTTCTTTAATTCTTGACCTTGGTGAGAAATCACTGTGAATTGCCTAAAGCACAAAACAGAAATATTCCCTTATTTCTCCACTTTGTCACTTCTTAAGACATGAGGTTACATGAAGAATGTGGCCACAGGAGTGGGGATTCCCAGATGGGTCTGATCCTTTGTGGTATATTTGCTTTCAGTTACTGCTCAGAACTCAGGGTGTCACCCCAGTTTTCAAATGACCCTGTGGGGGCACAGCAGAGGACGGCATCTATGAACCAGAAGCAGGTTCTCACCAAGATACTCAGGCTACCCACACCTTATCTGCAACTTCTAGTCTCCAGAATTCTCCCTTCCTGTTGCACTGACACACTACACTGAGAAACGGAGCGAGCTGGAGGACGCAGGATGCCCAGGCTCAAACATTTCTCCCCCACCTTTCAAGATATCTGAGATCTCACAGGGCCTGGTAACAGTGGAATGAACGAATCTGGGAAATGGTTCCAGAGTTAAGAGGAAGCAGAGAGTCCTCTGTGCTGCTGGGTCACAGAGGACCAGAGGA